ATATGGTGTTTCAGCAAGAAATCGTTCCAAAATATCCCATGCTGTTTGAATCTCTTTAATGCGTTCTTCCGGCATTTCACATGATTTGTAGAAAAAAATCGGGAAATACAAAAAGCGCAAACGAGCGAATAGGTGACCAGAGTCAAAATGCAAGCGAGCATCGACTTGAGCACGTTTCACCAAATCTTTTGGATACAATCGGTCGTCTTTTCCATATTTTCCAACTAAATACCCGCAAATTGCGTGGCTGTCGGCAATCAACACACCATTATCGTCGAGAAATGGAATCGTGTGTTGTGGATTCAACTGAAATCAAAAATAAGTCAAATGATGCAGAACGGAAAATGTTTTAATAATTGCAATGAAGATGACGATGAATGTACCTTGATAAATTCGGGTTGCTTATGCTCCTGTCCGAACAAATCAACTACTTTGCACTCTAGCTCAACGCCCAATTCAGCTGCAGTCAATAGAACAGAACGTGCAGGCGGACTCAATGCATGCATGTATAAAATTGGCTTTGATGACATGATTTAACGATTCTATAATGAAAGTAGAATAAAATTACACAACGTCAGCATTATTCGGTTGATAGCAATTCCATGTGAATGAGAATAAAATTTACGTTCAAATTTTTTCGTGGTTTAAATGATCCATTTAGAAGTTATCAGGTAGGAAATATGATAAGGCGAAAAAATTGAATATCGATGTGAATTTTGTTCCGGTTCGTATGGAATTGCTGTGGAGAAACCAGATTCGTTTGATGGAAAAATACTCATCGTCAAAAAGAGTGGAAAAAAAGAAAAATTGCTTTTTGGAGAAATCATATGATTTCTATTTTTATGGAAACAAAAAGGCAAAGAGAACACAATAAAATATAAAAGCCAACGAACCGCTTGAAATGGAGGTAACGTCAACTGTACACTATGGAATACACCTTTCGACTGAGACTCAATCAATTGTGGTCGTATCAATTGAAAGCAACCGGTTTTCGTCACACTAGTATCGTCGCCGATGATGAACGCTACCGCGTTGCGTCTGCGTCGCTGTATATTAATAGCATATAAGCGGAGAAAGTTTCTGAAAATTATCAGCAATCTTGTGACTTTTGATATGTAGCACTCATTGACACACTTTATGTTTTTTGCCAGTTAATTGTTTTATTCCCCTGATTTTATCACCTGTTTTGTGACCTTGAGAGTCAAGTTATCAGATTTGAATTTTTAGAAGATCTTGAACACCAGGCAAAATACCATAGCTCAACATGAAATTTGCATTATTAATCTGCACTAATACTCTGTTTTTGAACTTTTCGTTAAGTTCTGCTCATATTTTTTCGTTGTGCAAATTGGATTTCTCCTGAAAAACAGATAATTTAACGAATTTTGGTAGGTACCCATAGAATTTTTAAAAAATTGCACTCACAATGAAAATATTTCGTTTCTCTTCATTTTTTCGTTGAAATGAGATGAAATGTTTTTCTATGTTTTCCTCCATTTCCTTCTGCTGGACGTTGATAAGGGTATTACTTCCAAGTTTCAATGTATTTTTAAACTTGGTGATGGCATCGATCTTTACGCTTTTATGAAGTTCCATGAGTTTATCGCTTTTAAAGTATGGATCGATGTTGCATTTTCAACAAGCAACAAGCCAATCCAGCACATCGTGTTTTTAATACTGAGTTCAAACCGAAAGGCACAATAGTGTATGCAGAAAAAATGAAGAGAGAGAGAATTCCATCATTTACCTGCGCCTCTAAGTATTTCAAAAAGAAATTGAGCAAAAAACTTTTGCCCTGTCGAAAAGCACCGGCAATAGAAATAACAACCACATCACGATCTTTGATGGCATCAGCTTCTAACACTGTTTTCAATTCGTCTATTTCCAATACAAACGAATGATTATTATTCGAAGATAGAATTTGAACAACATGACCCACCACATCGGCACCAATCACAACGCCGAATTGTAGGAGAGCACACAGAATTAGTATAGTGAACTTCATTTTCGATTCGATGTAATTTTCAGACTGAATTGTTCAACATATTTCAAATTTAATTTATAGACGTTGAGATGTTATTGAAAATAAGGCTGCCTTTGATAAATAAATTTTAAGAACTTCTGACGGTGATAAGCGTTCAAATTAAGAACAAAATAGCGATATTGAATTATATCCGTCTTTTATATGTTACTATGAAATCACTTCGCTCTATTGGAAACATTACGCTCATAATCTGAGTACTCGCGTCATAATGAAGTCGACAAGGCGATGAATTTTCAAAGTTGCTTTATGAACGAAACGATCGTTTATCAACCGATGGCGATCGACTCGAAATCATCATATATTCTTTTCTTATTTTGATACAAATACTGCTCGATTCCATTTTATTAAAAAGTAATAAGCGATAATACTTTCTTACTTGTATGGCATAAAATTGAACTGTGATTACACCCATATAGTTCATTTGCGGAGTAATTTTGTCGATGGTGGGATTGTGCGGGGTTCGGCGGAGATGGCATACAAACGCTGTGTGTACGAGGGCAACAGCAATATTTGCTGTGCATACATCTATTTTGTTGAAACGAACATCATAGTAGCCGTGCACAACTGGGCACACAGCTAAGTTACTCATCATCTCTGCGTAAGAGCGATAGACATAGAAAGGAACTCCGTACAGTCCCGCCTTCAACAAAATTACTCCGCTAATGAATTACATGGGCATGACATATGAGATTATGTAGTTTTTCACAAAAAGCCATAACAAAAGTTCATGTATATATTTTCAATCAGTTTGCAATCGGTTGATCAATTATCGCTTCACTCTTACGCATTTTTAACTGGCAAATTACTTGTTTATTTTTATAAACTTGTAATTTATATTTGGATGCTTATCACACTACAATGTTCTAGAATTTATTCAGCAAAGTCAGTAAATTTTCAATAACATCTCAACGTCTATAAATTATAGATTTAATGCACTTTTTAATTCAGTGTGATAAATACGTCCAACATGAAGTTCGCAGCAATAATTCCGTGTGCTCTTTTACTATTCGGCGTTGTGATTGGTGCCGATATGGTGGAGCATAGTATTCAAATTATATCTCCAAATAAAAACCATTCGTTTGTATTGGAAATAGACGAATTGAAAACAGTGTTAGAAGCTGATGCCATCAAAGATCGTGATGTGGTTGTTATTTCTATTGCCGGTGCTTTTCGACAGGGCAAAAGTTTTTTGCTCAATTTCTTTTTGAAATATTTAGAGGCGCAGGTAATTGATGGAATTCTCTCTCTCTTTCTTTTTCTGCATATACAATTTTGCCTTTCTGTTTGAACTCAATAAGCAAACCTCTATTTTGTGTTTATAACTTTTCTCAAATAGTATAAAAAGCACGATGTGTTGGATTGGCTTGGTGAAAATGAAGAGAACAGTACATTGTCTGGTTTCGAATGGGCGAGTGGTCGAAAGCGAAAAACCGTTGGCATTTGGATGTGGTCGGAAATTTACACACATGACTTCGAAAACGGTGAAAAAGTGGCAATCATTTTACTTGATACTCAAGGAATTTTCGATGATCAAACAAGTGTTAAAGAATGCACAACAATTTTTGCATTGAGCACCATGATTTCATCCATTCAGTGCTATAATTTAATGCAAAATATCGGAGAGGATGATTTGCAACATCTGCAATTGTTCACCGAGTATGGAAAAGTGGCTCTACAACATACGAACACAAAACAATTTCAAAAACTATTGTTCATTGTCCGTGACTGGCCATATCCAGAAGACACTTATTATGGATGGCGTCAAGAAATAATCGATGAAATACTCGATGGAAATGACGAACAAACGGACGATATGCAACAATTGAGAAAGGAAATCAGATCAAGTTTCGATGAAATTGGTGCATTTTTAATGCCACATCCCGGCATGACTGTTGCACGAAAAAAAAACTTCAACGGTTCTTTGAAACAGATCGATCCTGAGTTTTTGAAATTTGCCAAAGAATTGTCGCAAGATCTATTCGCTCCGGAAAATTTGCTCATTAAAATGATTAATGGCCAAAATGTACGGGCTCGCGATTTGGTGCACTACCTACGCGAGTATACGAATTTGTTCAATAACAATACATTACCTGAACCACAACCAATGTATGAGGTATGCAAAAAAAATTAAATTTTAGTTATGTTCAAGAAATTCACAATATTTTCGAAATAGGCAACTGCAAAAGTGAACAATCTAATCCTAGCGAATGACTGTGTGAGAAATTATAGTGATTTCATGGAGAAACAGCTCATTAACCTCGATCCATACTTTAAAAGCGATAAACTCATGGAACTTCATAAAAGAGCAAAGATCGATGCAATCACCAAGTTTAAAAATACACTTAAACTTGGGAGTGATAACGCTATAAACTTCCAGCAGAACGAAATGGAAGAAAATATAGAAAATCATTTCATCTCATTTCAACGAAAAAATGAAGAGAAACGAAATATTTTCATTGTGAGTGCAATTTCACTAAAAACAATCGACCAAATATCGTTAAATTATTTGTTTTTCAGGGGAAAGCCAAATTGCACAACGAAAAAATATGTTTTGAACTAAAGGAACAGTTCAAAAACAGAGTATTAGTGCAGATTAATAATGCAAATTCCACATTGAATAATGGTATTTTGCCTGGTGTTCAAGATTTTCTAAAACAGGTATGTAAAAACTTTTTTTGGTCCCAGTTGAAACTTCCAACCATTAATATCAAATAATTGACTATTTATTGCGTTTTTACCTTGTTCAGTTTGACTCCCGGAAAATGGGTGACGTCGATGTTTCTGGTGTGATGCGAGATCAATTTGAAAACGTTTTATATGATTTTCTATCCATGTTGAATCAGGCATTTGAGACGCATAACGACTCTATCAACGAATATAATAACTTTATGACGAAGAGCATTAATGGGATTGAAACTTATTTCAAGCAAAATAAGCTCAAAGATATTCATGAGTTAGCGAAAGAAAACTCAAAATCACAGGTAGCATTAGATTGAATTCGACGTTAAGTGAACAGTATTAATTTTATTGAGTAAATTTCATATAGCTTACAAGATAATTGGATGGATGTGATGAAACGATAGCATATGCCATCCAATACAGAATATTAAATGAGATCGACAAGCAATTCCCATACTTTGAATCAAAAAATCAATTGAAGCACGACGACTTCATCGTAAGTTTATTTTCATTTATTTATATCATCGACATTTTACGCTATGATTGACACAATTTCATTTTTTGTGAATTCAGAAAAGAGCGAATGAGCACAATGAAAAACTAAGCGTGGAACTAATAGACACTATTAAACAAAGTGTTGGTGTGGCACTTGATACATTCGGAAGAATACTGGATGAAAATGAGTTTGGTAATGTGACTAACAAAATCGAAAGAGCTGCCATTCAAGATGTGAGCATTAGACTTTTTTTTCCACGAAATATCGTTTTAATGTTCTCCACTTAATCGCAATTCTATATTGTCCATACAGTTTGATTTGAAAAAAATCGATGACGGAGAAGTCGCAGCGGCCGTTCGTGAAAAACTCATACAAAAAGTGGATGTCATACATTCTGAACTGCTCAACATTGTTCATGCATATAATAGATATTTGAAACAGTATAATCATTCAATGGAAGAATATATCGAAAAATCTTCTTCATATTTAAAACGCGATGAACTGATAGAACTTCATCGTGATACGAAAAAGCAATCAATCGACAAGGTTTGAATTTGATTATTCAAAACACTGAAAAAAGTATTTTTTTAAATTTTAATATCATAATTATTTAAACAGTTTGAGGCGGCTTCTCTTGGAAACTGTGAAGATATTTCAACCGTTTTGCAAAGAAAACTTGATAAAGAAATTGAAGTAAATTTTCATCTACTATCCAAAAAAAATGCTGGGAAAAAAATCACATTTGTAAATTCATAAATTTTTTAAAACTACATTTGAAAATGTAGATAATATTAATTGATTTTTATTGTAGTGCCAAAACTTAATTAATTCCTTGGTTAAAAATGCTGGAGAAGAATGGTTGGTGGAAATAAAAAGACCAGCAGCGGCTTGGGGTGATGAAGAGTTAAATGAGAAATTTAAATCGTGGAAGGAAACTATTTTTAGAAGTGTAAGATCAGTGTTTTCTTGTATGAGTTAACTTTTAACGTTGTACCGTCGCTATTTAGCATAATTCTTTTTTTCTTATAGTTTGATGCAGAGAATATGAATGAGGATGATATTTCAAGTAGATTTCGACAAATCCTAGCAGTTCAATTAAATTATTTGGAATCACATATGAAGAAAATAAACCGAGCCAGATTGGACGAATATATTTATAGGGAGGGTCAGAAAGCCGGATA